CACCCCTCACCCATAGTCCCAAGCTCCTTCCCATCCCCACTGCCCCCCACAGGGTGCTCATCCCGACCTGGGGGTGGGGAACGAGGATGACAGGATGGGGTCCAAGCAGGGGGAGGGGTGCAGGGGTGGGGGGGCGGTGGAGATGAAGATGGGGAGATGGGAGGGTGGGGTGGGGTGGTGGAGCAACAGGAGGCAGGCAGTCCTTTCTCGACGCCTGGGTCTGCGGGGGGCTGGGCTTGGTCCTGACCCTGCCTGATGTCCCAGGAAACAATTCACTCAAACGCCTCTCAGGGCTGAAGACAAAGATCCCTTAGGACCCGTCTCTAAGGAAGACTCCACATGGGTTTGTCTTGTGACTAAGTGATGGTTGTCTATCACATTTAAGATCAAATCTGGCCTCCTTCCCACGGCCCCAAGGCACCTCATCTTTCCCCCCAGCTCTCTAGCCGCACTCAGCCTCCCGAACCCCAGAGACTTTGCACACGCTCTTCTGCTGCCTGGCTGGCCCCTTCACTCTTCAGGTTTCCTGGCACCTTCTCAGAGGCCTTCAGTGACCTCCTTACCTGATGTGGTCACAGTAATTCTCTTCTGTTTGGTTATATGCCCCCTTACTTGATTTTTTAATTCCACCAATCAAGGACTGACAAACTCTTTTGGGGAAGGACCAGATGATAACTGTTTGCCATATGGTTGCTGTGGAAACTAACCACGCCCTTCTGCCTCTTAGGGCAGAGCACAGTGGCTGTGTCCCAGGAAGGCTTTCCTTACAGGGCTGGCTGTAGGGGCTGGCCCTGCTGTAGATGATGAAATTGTGATGGAAGACAGTGTCGCTTTGTTCGCTGCCAGAACTCCAGTGCAATTGTGCTCTCGGTAGTTAAGTTGTTGGATGGATGATGGATGGACGGGTGGATGGAGGGACAGTTGGATGGATGGACGGGTGGATTCCGGAGGGATAGTCGGATGGATGAATGGACAGACGGGTGGATGGATGGGTGAATGATGGATGGGTGGCTGAATAATGGATGGATCATGGATGGATGAGTCGATGGATGGATGGATAACATGATGGACAGACAGGTGGATGAAGGGATAGTTGGGTGGATGGACGGGTGGATGGAGGGACAGTCGGATGGATGAATGGACAGACGGGTGGATGGATGGGTGAATGATGGACGGGTGGCTGAATAATGGACGGATCATGGATGGACGGGTGGCTGGATTGTGGATAGATGAGTCAATGATGGAAGGATGGATAACATGATGGATGGACAGGTGGATGGATGATGAATAAGAGGAGCAAGGAGTCACCTAGGCTTGTCTGAGGCTTAAATGCCAGAACCTGGGAAGTGCTTGGTCATGTCTGTTGAGTGACTCATGTATTACACGTCTCTTCACTCTATCTGCCTCCCGCCTCCCCACGGTCATCAGCCCCCAGCCCTGGTCCTGGCCTCAGGCCTTGTCCTCTTTCTATGGAGTCAACTCAGCCTCACCCAGACCTGCAGTCGCTCCCTGCAGTCCACCCCCACAGGGTCTTTCTATGCCCAGAGCTGACTTGCCCCTCCTCAACTCACACGACTCCCGCCCCGACCCCCCTGGGCAAGATCCTGGCCTCTGCCCGACCCCTCTCCATCCACTAGTCCCTCTCCACCTGTGGTGCTGTCCCCCAGCCTTCTGTTCTGACCCCCCTCTAACCATCACTGTGGACTCCTTCCTCCTCTTTCATGGATACCGTCCCCCCACCCTCTCCAGGCACTCCCTCCCCTACTGGGGGACTCTTCTTCCAGTGCAGTGCTACCTGGATCTACCTCAGCACCCATCACCTGACACAGTGACTGCGTCCCCAGAGGGTACCCTTGGCTGCTAACCCAAAGGTCCACCCAGAGGCACCTCAGAGGAAAAGTCTGCCCATCCGCTTCCAAAAACTCAGCCACTGAAAACCGTATGGAGCTCGGTTGTACTGACACACAGGGGGTTGCCCTGAATTGGAGTCGACTTGGGGGCAACTGGTTCAGGGACCTGTGTCAAGGAGCCCTGGGGGTACTGGTTCAACACTTGCTAACTGAAAGGTCGTCGGTTTGAACCCACCAGCCACCCCACGGGAGAAAGCTGTGACAGTCGGCTTCTGTCAAGATCGCAGCCTTGGAAACCCTACGTGGCAGTACTACTCTATCCTCTAGGGGCGCTGTGGGTCAGAATCAACTCCACGGCAGTGGGTGTGGTTTGGGCTTTGCTTCTGTGAAGATTGACAGCCTTGAAACCCTTTGGGGGCAGTTCCACTCTGTCCTCTAGGGGCGCTGTGAGTCGGAATCAATGCAACAGCAACCCGTTAGGCCTGTGTCTGCCTCCCCACCAACCTGGGGGCTCTCGGGGACAAAGGGCGGGTGGACTTTGTTCCTTGTTGAAACCCCACCACCCTGCCCCAAGCCTAGCACCGCACCTGAGACACAGGGGTGCATTCTAAGTGCGGGCTGGACTAGCAGAGGCCTGGCTGGCCGAGTCTTCCTCACCCCGTCCTACACCCACGGGAGTGTCCTGGGTGCGCACCTTGTCCTCCTAATTGAATTAAAAAACCAAGGCCAGAGGAAGGGTGAGGATGGGAATGGGGGTGCGGATGGGAATGGGGGTGAGGAGGGGTCAGTTGTGAGGGAGGGGTGGGGGGATCAGG